CCCTCCTTCACCCCCACCTCCCCTTCTCTTTGTCAGCAGAATGAAAAATAAAAAGTCCCGTTAATCGCTGTCTGTGCCACACTCTCAGCCGTGATTTGTGACAGAAGCAACAATAAAAATATGTAATTGTGGCAACGTTATTTATCTTTATTAGGATCTTGTCAGACTGACGTGCTGCCGGGCTGCATATAAATGGCAGCTGCTGTGCACACGGGGTTGGGGGGGGTCCGGTGGGGGGGGCTGGCTCTGGGCATTTACTGCTGATGTGCTGCTGAAAGTGCATTTGACAGAATCAAATTTAACGCCAGAGCTGAAGTTCCAGAAAGATCCTGATGGTGGCGTTAGACTCTGTGGTTGTTGGTGTCAACGGTTCATCAACAGACATGTGAAAACTGAGGCTGAATTAGACGACAGTAAAACTACAGTCACTGCAGTATGACATGTAGTACTCGTACTAGTATTACTGAACATGGGTATTTGACTTTTTGATGATTTTTTTTAGTCTGTGATATTTTTTGGATTTGATCTCAGTTTGTGTCGTAACGTCTATAAATGTCAGGGATTCGATCACGATTCTAAGAAACGTCATTTACAAATTAAAACAATAATTAAAATCAGAAGCCAAACTCAAAATGATTCATCTGCTGTTTAAAATAATACTTGTATTAACTAGGTCAAGTTCACTAGTCATAATTTAGTCGTCCAATCACGGCCCCTCTTACACCTGATGGAGCAGATGGGGGGGGGGGGTATGTGAGATCATCAGACGTTCCTGCTGCGTCACCGTCCTTTTTATTTTATTCAGCATTTTCTCTAAATGCCCCCCCCCTTCCTGTCCTCCTCCCCCCTCTTTTACTCCCCCTCCCCTCCCCTCCCCTCCTTTTCTCCCCCCTCTGTGCCACAGGAGTCGAGCGCCCCGAGGGCCAACTGCAATAAGATGATAATGATGTTTACAGATGGTGGGGAGGATCGAGCTCAGGAAATCTTTGAGAAGTACAACTGGCCCAACAAAACGGTGAGTGCCCCCCCCTCTCCTCACCCCTCCTCACCCCCCCATCAGGCTGCTGTCTGGAGATGCTGTGTGTCCACACACTGTTCCAGGAAGCTGACTTCTGTTTGACATTGTCTGATGACATCACAGACGTTTGGATCGCACGTGAGAACAACTTCTGTCTCAGTTGTTCCGGCGCTGGTGTCGACAGCTCTGACCCACTGACTAATTAGCCACTTTATCATTAGAGCCGTACAAATTACTGCCAACAGATAACGAGTTTGTTCACATCCTCGTCCCCCACTTGATTTTACGACAGAAAATAAGAGCAGCTGCTGTCGCCTGGTGACTTATATATTTTTATTTTAAATAATTGGCGACACGTTCTTTAAAAAGTCGTCATCAGAAACTGCCGTGTCAGACTCTGTATGGAGGAAAACGCTAACTCACGGTTTTTCTCTTCGACGAATTTTTGACCTCTTCAACAACCTAATTGGTCTAAAAACTTTGTGTCTTTCCTCAATTCCTGCAGGTACAGTATATCAGTGTTGTGTTCAACTAAACAGGCCGGGGTTTTACACTTTTAATTTTTTTAATAAATTGAATTTTTTTTGTGGTTGTCGTTTTTCCAGGTTCGTGTTTTCACCTTCTCCGTCGGCCAACACAACTATGATGTCACACCTTTGCAGTGGATCGCTTGTGCCAACAAAGGTGAGGAGTTGGAACTCACCTTGATGTGTTTACGTTTGGTCAACGTTCGTCTTCATCTTCGTTTTACAGCAGCATTAGTCAACGTTCGTCTTCATCTTCGTTTTATAGCAGCGTTAAAAACAAAAAAAAACAGATTTGTTCCTGTGATAGAAAAAAAATCACATCAATGAACAGAACGACACAGTTCCAAACAGCTCCATGATCTGATCTGATCTGATGTGAATGTAAATGCTGGCGTTCTGTGTTTCTAATGCTCCGCCCACACCTTCGTCTTCAGAGAAGGGTTGAACAAACAGGTGTAGGATTTGAATGATTCTTTTCAACCTTCACTTTAATCTTGTGTAGATATTTTTGATAATATATATAAAATAAATATGGATTTTTTTTAGTTTCTTTTTAATATTTTATTTTACTTTGTTAAATGTCAGTAACAAACGGCACCGTCTTCAGATTTTCTAATTGAACTGATTCGTCATTTGTTTTTCTGACGTGTGAATTCTCTCATTACCCATAAGTCACTTGTTGTTCTCACACTTGTGCTTTGATTTAATGTTGTTCTAAAGAGCTGCTGTTGTTCTGTAGCCCTCCGCCCTGTGCTGGCGCCGCCTGCTCATGCTGCTGCTGCTGATGGGCTCCTAGCCACTGGAGCCGAGGGCCTCAGAAGTGTCTCCCCAGAAGTTGTTATTAATTAGCAGGAGGAGTCTGGTAGCCGGGCGATTACGGCGCCCTCTCCCCGTCAGGCTGGGTAAAGTCCAGGATTAGGCCTTTGTGCCGACGTTCTCTCTGCTGGTTGTGACTGTGGTGATTAGCAGGAAACTACAGTCTGTGTCAGTGAGAACAATAATGTTGACACAGCGTTCTCAGGGGAACTGTTCTCTGGGACCTTCAGCTCTTATTACCCTTTGGTATCTCCCGGCAGCAGAGCCGACGTCCTGACACGACAACAGACACGACAACAGACACGACAACAGACGGGGCTCCTCATCTGTGACAGAGACGTTTGCTTCAAATGTACCCACTCCACATAACCAGCCTCCAGCCTGACTGACTGACTGACTGTAACAGAGAACAGCTGAACCACGCCCTCTGCTGATCAACAACAGGAAGTAGAATTATCAGTGAAAACCTCAGTGTGATTTGCCTCCAGCTGTGGGGTCACCTGACAGGAGTCTAGTTGTTGGTTGTTGTTTTTTTTTTAAACATTTTATGACTGTACTTGGCCTGTCAGTAATGTAGGGGTCCTAAACCCCTGGCCCTCGGGCCACCCCTGGCCCGTAATCTCTGAACACCCAGGCCAAAAACTTTTTATTTTTATTTATTTTTAACCTTTTTATTTGTTTATTTTTCAACGTTATATCTTCAGTAAAATCTTTTTACATCAGTTTATCTTCAGGTCAAATCTGTGTTTTTATAAATTAGAGCAGAAAATTCAACAAAACTGACTCTGAGCATCATCTCACTGAGAGTCAGCTTTAAAAGAGTTTGTTTTTTATTTATCAACCGTTTCTTCAGAGCCTCCTGACGGCCTGTGATTTCCTGCGCTCGTCTTTTTGCCTCAGAACCACAGACGCCCCCTGGTGCTGTGATAGTACGACTGAGCCCTGCCCCACATGTCCAGAGTTGCGACTCGGAGCTGGTTAACATGCAGAGGATGTGGTCTTCATTTCACAGCTCTTTGTCTAAACACTTTAATAACTCTGGAGCTGGTGATGATTGACCCCGGCACTGCCTCTCCTTCATC